ATATATATATAACAAAAACATATCTCTATGAACTGGCGTTATGCGTTTTGCGTATCTGTGTTTATCAACTTATGCATTCCTTTTGCTTTGAAAGCATGAACACTATTTGTTCTTGTGTTTGCGCATTTAAAACATATTTTAGTGCGGTATGAAGTTGAGGTCTTGTGTAAAGAACAACGTATTTCCCTAGTTACATGTGTTTGAACTTTTTCTCATGTTAGCCTGTATTATTTTATGAATTAGTTCATAAAAAAGAGATTTCTCGAATCCTATGGAAATAGTTTACCCATCGTTGGTTAGTACATACATTGAAGCTCGTGAGTGCTTATATGTTATTCTTCTGTAACTCACCTCGTTACATTTATTACAAGTGATTGATTGCATTGTTCGTTTCGATTTTTTCATGTCTTGTCTACCCTGAACATGTTTTGGATGTATAGGCACGTGTATATTCTCGCAACGGAGCTCCAACGGCAATATATTGTCAATTCTCAAGCTGTGTAGAATTCAGTACTCGTCAGATAACTTGTTCTAACTCAGTTTGTATGTCCGAATACGCACGTACTTGGATGCATGATGAAAATACTTACTGAACAGGAAGTTTTTCAAATCAGTCGAGAAAATTCTTGCGGTTTCGTTATGCTTGGATGTGTTGAATTTATACACAACTGCCATAAATCTATCAAACCCGGCTATATCGGATCGGTGAGTGAATTGCTATCATTAATTCCGACTATATGGCATTTAGTACTCATGACATTGATTAGCTACAACTGAAGTTCGTTTACTCTTTTCTTCTCGGATACAGCTCAAAGGCAGCGACCCCTCCGCCGGTACTTACGCTGCAGCAGCAAGCGGCGGCGGATAAGCTTAAAGAGATGAGATACTACCATAAGATCGAAACAGCACTATACCGCGTCACTCAGGTGATGCAGAATGACAGGTATGAAGATCAATCGATGACCCCAGTAGCGTACCTGATATAGCTGAATTACCCATACAACAGAGCAGCGTACGAAACTGAATCACATAGCGTCGGCCTGATATGATTCTGACATCTGATTTTTATTGCTCGTATTGATACTTGACTTGGTGACCTCTCTGTTGAAGCGTATACTGAGTGATATTGCTGCTATTGTGTGTAGACGGCAATTCGGAAAATTTGCATTGGGCTCAAAATTCTATCCAATTTCGACTGTGCAGTAGCAAATACAGCAAATCAGAAATATCGGACATCAAGAAGAACCTAGAGGACGCCAGGGGTAAATTGACAGTTCTAGATAAATGTCTGACGAAGTATCGAGATCACGCAGAATCCATCGGGGTCGACCCAGCAGCTATCAACCATGATTCAATGGGGGACCCTTTCAATGTGTTCCCAGTAGCAGGTATGTTTGTCTGTGTTGTTTGTAAACCAACGTCACACCTGTATGTACTTAAGCGTTGCAGAACCTCCAGTCTGCATGGCATCTTGCAACAGCGTCACAAGGCGCGTGATCATTGCGTGTTCATTTGATCATTTTAGCCCTCGTTTCGCGCTAAATATTTTCAACCATACACAGGTGATCTCACGATGCAAATTGGTGATGCCAAGGACTATCTCGGAGTGGATCCTAAAGCCAAATCCAACACAACTATCGAGGTGCGCATCGATAACTCGGTTCCGATCTTGAAGGCGAAGGCCAAGCGTACCGATCCCAGCAGCTACACGCCCCAGTCTAGCCACAAAATCAACCTGGGCAAGTAAGTACTCCGTATACAAAAGTCAGTCGTCTGATTCATTAATTGATTGGTAGCTGTTGGTGTACGAGTTACTTGACGTTCGCGAGTTGTCCAGTATTGCTAAGGAGTAAAGTGCAATAGTTCTACTTCAATGAGTTTGCTCTAACAAAGCTGTATGTACATGTCACTATAGCGCACAATTTGTATCGGATTTAAGTCAAAGATTATAACCGTGTTGCCACACTACTCTTCATCCCAGACGCTTATGGTTCTACCTTTACGAGAAGGAAACTCTTATTGGATTTGCCACGTACGAACTGGAAAGCCTGCTGGAATCGAACATGGCCGAGGAAGAGCTCACTATCGAGCCCGCAGGTACGCTGACCGTCAAACTCGGTCTGATGAAGAACACAGACCGTTACGCTGGAGGACTGCAACGTGTGGCCGGTATCAAACAGGCGAGAGGCGGCAAAACTACCAGCAGTGCGGGTAGGTCTACTGAGTCCGTTGCCTGTGTGAGGTTTAATCGGCCTGCTACTATGTCTCGTTCTGATATACAATGCAACGCTTCTAAGCTGCTGAAATCGAGGCACCAAATCTGAATCTTACTGTGGCCGTATCGTTCTATCAATGGGCTCAACTATGCCTAAAATGTATCGCTGCATATTCATATCGACAACCTTTTTCCCATTCAGCTTGTACCGGTGGCCACACATTCTTGCATCTTCCGCCGGATGTCGAACCTACCAACTGCATTGTGTGCACCAAGATCACCACTACACGATCGTACCAGTGCAGGGGTATGTAAAATTTTAATAACGCTTGAATATTTATGCCCCAATGTTATCTTTATCCTGATCAGATTATGAACCCAGTTGCTTTGAAACTCTCACGGGTGGCTTTTAACTATGTGATGACACAAATTTATACAGGATGCAAGGTGGTGGCTCACAGAGGATGTTATTCCTCCTCTAGCGTGCCCCGGTGCCAGTCAGAGGACACAGGCAGCGATGAACCGGTATGATTGTACATGTTTTCTAGACTTTTAATAATAATTATGTTGAACTTTTTGCTCTGCTACATTCTCCAACACACGATATTTTCACCTATTTGATCACAATGTTGTATACTTTGTACTATTTTGCAGATCAATACGGAGGACAAAACGGGCCATAACATTCCGCATCGATTTACGCAACTCAAGGGTCTGTCAAAGGCCACGTGCTATCAGTGCAAGGCTATCAACATAGGCATTTTGGGTCAAAGTCTGCAGTGTAGCGACTGCAGTATTGTGTGCTGTAAAAAGTGTAAGGATGCCGTGGCCAATCATTGTGGAGTGCCTGAGGAGTACGTGCACTACATGAGCAGACAATCCGACAAATCGCAAGCAGAGGTGAGTGTTCAACCAATCTTGGATGATATTACCGTAGGCTATACGGAAAGTAAAAACACATGTAGGTTAAGGAAATGATGTTTAGATATGTCAATTGTACCGAGATGATATATCGCACACATTGACATTAACGAAGTCACTGCACAGCAGTTGTGACTTCAATACTAGTTTGAGGTAAACAGCATCCAGTTGAAACCGGTGGATAAATGGTTCCTTATTCAGGGTATCATATATCGGCATTACAGTTCTGCATCGAGCGACTGTGCTTAGGTTACACTTTTAATGAGTACAGGCAGTTGTTATCAAGAAAAAACTCTCCTTCCTGATATTGAGTGTTAGGAGTGCTGTCATATTTTATATACAAATTTGATGAATTGACTATACGGAGCCGTCATTACTATAGCGTTCACAGTCGGGTAGGTTCCCTTCAGTATGCGAGGATCGCATGTAGTGTCAAGTGTATTGCAGTAGAGTATCGGGATGCCGATAATCCGGCAAAAGGCCAACGCTCACTTCAGACATGCTTTTTATTGTATTATATATGACCAGAGGAAATCCCTTAAGGCCAAAGCAACTCCGTCAGCAAGTACGGCTACGTTGGAACCGTCGTCAGACCCGCCACCATGCACTCCAACCGCTGAGGAACAAAAGCCAAGGCCCCCTGTACCTCAACCATATGAGAAGAAGGTCCTCAAACCTGTCCAAGACACAGAGCCGGTGGCTGTTACTGTGCCCGAGGTATGTTGGCTTATTAGTTAGACAAACTGAATCAAGTCAGTAGAAAGACGTGTGGTTTGGCGACAAAAAGAATACTTTTCAGCTATTGCTGAGATAGGAATTTGTTTCTGATTTTGTGCATGATAACTTGAAATCCCGTGCCTACCGTTCTAATAGTATTGGCAACGAATACTCCTCTGAACTACCACCAGATGATTGCGACAGGCGTAAGTGAAATATCTGCAGTGTCGCGACTGCAAATGTCCGACTTCACATTCATCTCTGTTCTTGGTCGGGGCAACTTTGGCAAGGTCATGTTGGCCGAGGACTCCAAAACCAACACGCTCTGCGCCATCAAACTCATCAAAAAGCACTACACCGTCCAACAAGATGAGGTCGAGAGGTAGGTTTCCACTGCGAGGTTGGAGGCGTATTGGCATATCTGACCCCACTAAAGAGCTCGTGTAAATATCGACAGCATATTTATTGCGTTTGCCCGAGTTGATGTATGTCAAGGGTCTAGTTTTATTGGGAATTGCACATGTCGAAACATATACCAAGTGCACATACGCTCTTATGCGACTTATAGACTTTTTCGCACATGTTCCGTCGTCGTGTTTGCGAACATTATACATATTGTAGGGTACAGCTCTCTGACTATCAATTTATCTACCCTATAGCAGTACTAAGTGACAGGATATTCCATAGCACAGTTTGAGGGGAAGGCTCATCATGCTAATTAATAACTTTTAGATGCCAAAAGCTGGTATTTTGTATGGGCAGCGAGTGAATGCATACAGCGCATAGTACAATGATGTTCACGACTAAACGTGATGTTCCTATAAAAACAGTATCCGGACGGAGAAGGAGATCTTCCAGGTCGCCAATCAGGAACGCCACCCGTTCTTGGTCAATCTCTACAGTTGCTTCCAAACACCCACGCACCTGTGCTTTGTGATGGAGTACGCCTGCGGAGGAGATCTAATGAAACATATTCATAACGAAGTCTTTGGTATGTTGATACCGTCCTCAGTAATTGAAGATCCGTACCAAATTAGTGTGGCTTTCGTTCTGCAGAGCACAGCGATGTATCTGCCATAGTTTACTTGTGTACGCTTCTAGCTTGCTTTCGGGCCGATGGCTCAAACGTTAATCCCGATCATGACTCAGCACAAACGTATGTCATATTCTTATATGCCACGTGCCCAGTCCGCTCAGATCGTCTTATTTGACTTCAACCTTAAATATACACAGGAAGCGCACGTGGCCGCTTCTACGCGTGTGAGATCTTGCTCGGTTTGGAGTATCTCCACACCAACGGGATCGTCTACCGTGATCTGAAGCTCGACAATCTGCTGCTGGATCGAGAGGGTCATATTAAAATTGCCGATTTCGGACTTTGTAAGACGGGCATGTTCCACAACCAGACCACACAGACCTTCTGTGGAACACCGGAGTTCATTGCGCCCGAGGTAATTTAATGAACCTATGCCACGTTCTTGACTATCGGCATAAGACAAATAGAAATGCCCGTATCCCAATCCACACATTTGTTACTGGTTGACGCTTAGAGACTTTTTTGTCCGATGTATGATTTTTTTCCCGGTATTCTCCGGTAAACGCAATGTCTGATGCGCATTGCAAACCTCTCCAAGTCTATGACGAATAGTCTGGTGGGTGTGTGTGTATGGGGGGGTTGGCCCATCCCTCTCCGTCTCTCTCGATATATTATTTACTACAAGAGAAATCGTCCTATCCGCAAATTATAATCACCATTGACTCCCTCACTGTGCAAACTACAGATTCTGAAGGAGGCAAGCTACACACGCGCTGTTGATTGGTGGGCATTTGGAATCCTGATCTTCGAAATGATTGTCGGACAGGTATCGTTTCATTGGGGGTGTGATCTATCTTGTAGCATATCTCTAGTTTATAATTTGAAATCGCTGTTGTTGTATGTTGGTTTCGACATATTTCAGGGTTTTGGGTTGGCCATGTTGCTTCTTTGCAACACATTAGGGTATCTGCGCATGCTCTGTGCAGTTGCATAGTCCATACTATAAGTTAGTTGGCTCATTGTCAAGTGTTGCCTTTGTATCTATAGGCACCCTTTTTCGGAGCCAACGAGGATGAGATCTTCGATCAAATTATGTATAATGAGCTTCATATCCCAACTTGGCTCGGAAGGAAGAATCCGGCAGCAGTGAGTATCATCAAACAGGTGGGTATACACTATGATGTTCACAGCACGTACTATGACTTTTCCCAAGTTCCTAGTTCTCAATGACATACGTAATCTAATTAGACGATGCGCTAAAATCAATTCGAAAACAGCTGCAGTGTGCATGCGATTGAATTCGATTGCATACGCCACCGTTCACACATGCACGAGCCGCTTTGATAAACCTGGAACACAAGCAACTGTGCACGGGTTAGGCATGGGCAAATCTGACATACGAATCTACCCAGAGAAGAAAACTAAAACCCGATCCCGTTGCATTTTATACACGTGTAGCTCGTTGTCAAGAATCCTAAGGACCGTCTGGGATCCAGTGTGAGAGACGCGGAGGAGATCAAAGAACACCCCTGGTTTTCCGACGTCAAATGGACTGACGTCTACCACAAGCGCATACCTGTGCCACGCGTGCCCCGTCTGTTGGTAAGTTGTTCGGGTCGATGGCATGTTACGGACATTGTCGAGTGAATTATCGACAATTAGAACGTTTTTGCTGCGCTGTTGGTGTATATCGCGTCATGTCGATCATGGTTTTTGTCTTATCATACCTCAGCACATCTCTAGTATAACGAAGGTGCACCTACTATCACATCAGTCGAGCGTACAATTCATATCCAACTCCATCATTGCGTAGGATCCACGAGATACAAGTAATTTCGATGACGAGTTCACCGCCGAAGAGGCGATTGTCACTCCCATTCAAGAATCTCCTCTGGATGCCGCGGAACAGGCTGAATTCGATGGCTTCAGTTTACACACAGGATGGCTTGCTGGCAATGTGTAGACGCGGGAAACTAAATCATATGCGCAGTTTATAAGGGAGACGCACTAAAATCACAGGTTTTACGGCCACACGTGGACATTTGAGCCTGCCATTCAATGCTACAACCTTAGGAAGTATAGAAGGATTTGGCGTAAGACCTCGTATGAGTGCACTGTGGCTGCAAAGGACAGTTCCATTCGTATAGACATGTTTGTAACCAATATACTAATGAATATCGTACCACTAATAACTGAGCGCTCACAATGCACACTTCATCTCGTTGAAAATACCTACACCTACCGTAAAGATGTCACTCTTTCTGTGGGTCTCAAAACGCAACATAAATGCGAATACTTGGCACACATTGAGATCTTTGTAAAAACACATCCTCCAATTAATAAAATTTTACGACTCATGAAAGTTGACACGTCCCGTTCAGACGATAGTAGGAGGAACTACCCTGTTCCTTTTTCGACACAAATTGTATTGCAGCACAGCTCAAAGGACACGCATATTGTCAGCAAGTGTGTTGCATCGCACATTTCACCTTCAACACTTTTGATAGGAGTGAATTCGTGCAAAAGAATCTATTGCTAGACCGCGCAAGCGATCATTAACAATGCAAACCGCCGCCGGACGCCAACTATGGCATCCGGTTGATTTCACAGTGCGATACGAAAGCAAGAGATCATTATTTAGTATACTCATGGTAAATATGAACTACACCACAGAATTTTGATGTGGGAAGCTCAATTTTTTCCGTTGTCGAGACGTTTAAACCCATGTGTTAGCCGAAGCAACAATAATGTTATGCCTGTATTTAACCCATTTTCTCGTCAACAACGTCAAACTGTGAACTCTCCTACCTGGCATGAAAATTAAGGTCGTCACTCGTCAGGTATTGGGTATTGGCGGCTCACTATTGTGGTCTGTTCAAATACAACGATCCGAACGTCTGATGACGACACAGTAGTATTAGGACTACTGTTGCTATTAGTATTAGTATTATTTGTCCTATTATTTGTATTAGTATTAGTAAACGTACTATTGTTAGTATTAATATTAGTACTATTATTAGTTTTAGTATTAGTACTATTATTAATATTGGTATTATTAATAGTAGTATCAGTACTTTTATCAGTATAAGTAATAGTACTTTCAACAGTATTGGTTTTGGTATCAGTACTAGAATTACATAGCCTACTGAGAATTATTATTGCTCAACTGTGGTGTCCCTTCCCCACTGAGAAAGTGAATATAAATACTTTATTTAGGGAAAAAGCCAGCCTGCTGTACCCTACTAGCCCCTCATTCCAAGTACCTCACCCCTTGAAGAAAATACATCTGCAAGAAGTAACTTTTAATAAACGATTACATGTCTGATTGAAGTCTCTGTCGTGTATTGCTGTATCGTCTGCCCTTTACCAGCTATGTAATCAATATTGTTTTTGTTTTTTTGTCAAAGTTTATTACAGTTGACGGTGGGCTATTTTTAGTGCTTTACACATTCAGAAGGCTATGTATGTATGTAAAAACAAATAAAACCATATGAAATCGTGGCATCTTTGATCTCTCTCCTTCTCTCTCCTGATCTCCTCTCTTGTTGTGTGTGGAGTGTTGATTTGTGTTGATTGATGTCTGTGATGATGGTCGATTGACTCGATTCTCCCTGTGGGGAGTACTGTATTACTGGCCCACTGGTGGTGGGGAACAGTGGGGAGTCTGGGGACTGGGGAAGCTGGAAGAGTGTCAGACTGTCAGTTCAACTCCGTTGGTCCGACAATCACACTGGAAGAAACGCCCAAGCCCCAACCAATCAATCCGAGCAACATTTGGCAAACATGGAACTGATGGAAATGACGACTGCATCCGACATACCACTCGAAATATGTATTTACAACCGTGATGATGTTTTTACTACCGTCCGATAGATAGATGAATGATGTCTGACGGAATATTTATAGGACATCCTGTATAATAAGTGGTTTGTTTTGTTTTGTTTTTTTTATAAACAAAACAAACAAAACAAAAAGAAAAAGAATAAAAAGCAAAAATAAATAAATGATGGTCATGATGACTTCTTGTGTGAGTTGTGTGAGTTGAGTTGTTGCTTTTGAGTTTTGGACTGAATTTTTTCAAAAACAAAATTCATAGCCTTCTGACTAATTTTCAGAAGGCTATGATTGGTTGTTTTTTTGTTTTTGCCTTTATATATTTTTTTGTTTTGTTTTTTAAAAATAAATAAATAAATACTGCTGCCCTGTGCCGGTTTTAGCGACTCATAAGAGGATTCTGAAGGGAACCTGATTTAAAGATTTTCGCTCAAAGTCCCAAGGCCCAAGCCCGCAAGGGGCGCAAAGCCCAAGAGAGATTGCTATGCAGAGGACCAGAGCCCAGAGCCCAGAGGGCCATGTCATAACTATTTCATACCCTCCTACTAGTGTTCTATTGGAGGCTACATTTTTTTGGGGCCGCTATGAAAATGTACAGATTTTTTTTTTTAAATTAACAAGTATTTATGCCTAATTTAGTAGCGGTGAATTCTACTATGTTGGCTATGTGTATATCGATAAAGGCCATGATGAAAGTCACTCATATAGTTGTACACTCTATATATATATATACCTCTGGCTTGTATATACATTACACTCCGAACTGAGCAGAGTTGGGGGTATATCAAGAGACGCAGTCATGCCTACAAGCTCTGAATCAGCTCCATTACTCGCTGGTCACGGACGATCGGATCCCGAACGAGAACCTTCGCGAGTGCCGCAGGGTCCGCATAGACCTAGAGGTTAAGACTATATTTCAATTGTACTCATATAATTTGTTTTCTATACATGCGACACAGATATTTTAGTACAATTTAAATTTAAGGCTATACAAGATATAAATGCACACCCACACACAGGCATATATATATATATATGTATATATATATATATATATATATATATATATATATATATACACACACACACACACACACACACGACACACACACACACACACACA